TGATGGAAAGAGAATCTTATAACTTATAAACATTTTATTGGTTAGAATACTTTTGATGTAGTATTCCATTATTGTAATGGAGAATTCTTCAACTGGAAGACATGGAATAAGTTAAGGTTTTTTGAAATGTTGAACTATATATTAACATGTGGAAAGTGTAAAGAAGAAAGTTGTGTGAAACCATAATTAATGTACAAAAAGTGTAGAAAAGAAAGTAGAACATTAATTGCTGCAATACTTGATTGAAAAGAATGAAAGAAAAAGGGGAAGGGAGAAGTCATCATTGGGCTAGAAGCATGTGGCGTGGGTTTATTATATCAACGTGTGGAATAAGTTAAGGTTTTCTAGAATATTATACTATATATTAACGTGTGAAAAGTGCAAAGAAGAAAGTTTTGTGATATGGAATAAGTTAAGGTTTTTTAAAATATTGGACTATATATTAACATGTGAAAAATATATAAAAGAAAATTTTGTGTGAAACCACAATTAACGTGTCAAAAGTGTATAAAAAAAAGTGAAACATTAATTGCTCTAATATTTTACGAAAAAGAATGAAAACAAAAAAGGAAAGGGAAGTCATCATTGGGCTAGAAGCATGTGGCATGGGTTTAGTATATCAAATTAATTAGATTTTTATTCATAAAAAAAAAAATTGAATTTTGAATAGAAATAATGCATAAAATCATGTGAATATTGAGAGTAATTATATTTTTTGGTCATTATAATGTAGACATATTGATGAAAAGAGTTAAGTCATAGTTATTTCACTCTAAATAAATAAATATTACCAAAAAGAGAAGTTAAATTTGTAACGGAGGCATCACGCATTAGTACATCATGGAAAGTGGAGTCAAATATTCATTAATTTGTTTGTAGTCAAATATTGATGGAAGGTTTGACAAAACCTTCGAACATGCGTTAGATCGCACCTGGGCCCAATGACTTTAAACCCACTTGTAAGGTGCAGCTCGCCAGCTCATTCGAATCTCTGTTTCCAAAAATATAAACCTCGTTAAAAAAAAAAGAAAAACACGTGTTAAATCGGTTTAAACTCTGTAGTGTCCTTGTTCTTAATTATGTGTACTATCAAAGAAAAAAATGTTTAATTATACTATAAAAAAATTCAATTGTATGAAAGCTTAAAAAAAAAAAAAATGGTTTATTGACTTTTACATTACTGTGCTAATATGGAAATTTACACAGGAGCGGAAAGCCGAACCTGAAGGAGTTTTACAAAAGGACTATAAATAGTGGTGTCCAGCCCTAATCCCTCACCTCCTTTTTTGTTGAATTGTGTTCATCTTTAAGAAAATGGGAAGGTTAATATGGTTTTCCCAAATCCTCTGCCTTTCCTTCATGTTGTTACAGTTTCGAGTCCAAAGCTCCTCACCTTCTCAATCTTCTCTTGATTCACTGCTGCATTTGTGCCGTCCCGAAGAGCGTTCTGCATTGCTTGATTTCAAAAGCACTACTACTAACGTGTTCAACGACGTCACTCATGGATTAAAAACTTGGAACAAGAGCATAGACTGCTGCTTGTGGGAGGGCATCACATGCGACAAGACAAAAGGTCATGTGATTGGTCTGGATCTTAGCGGGCAATGGATTAAAGCCAATCTAACTACAAATAGTAGTCTTTTTCG